TTCCGATCTCCCCAAAACCCCAAAACCCCACTATAGGTATAAGCAAAGAATTTAATGAATTGAAATAAATGTTGATTTTGCTACTTTTATATTAGCAGAGTGGATACTCTGATTAGTCACAGCATTTTTGCTTTTCTAATATCTATGAAACCAAGATATCATAATTTGGCTGCTCGATTCAATTCCTAATGCTTGTCAGAATCTAAAGTACTCAAAACTTAAAAAGTCACACCTTCTTTGATTTCTCCGCCATTGTAGTATTCATTTTTGTCATCTTCTTCCCAAGCTCCATAATACTTTAATACTTTGTATCCAAGTTTAACTGAACTCAAAAAGCCCTCTTTTGACACAGAAATTACGACAAGACGTTTAAATCTCAAGTTTAGGAGAAGGTCATCAAATAGAATAAGACATATCTTATGGATTAATTACTATCTTCTATAATCTTTTCTTGCTACACTATATCCCACAAAGCAATACTCACCGGGCTGAGCACTTAGGATTTTTCTGGCATCTTATCTGATAGATCTCAATTTTTCAGTTCCTCTCAATAATCTTTTAGAAATATTGTAGGGTTCAAAAGTAAGGTCAAAAGCTATTACTATAGCTACAATTTCACCTTTTTCATTGAACGCAGCACAAGCTTAACCATTGTTAAACATATTTCTACCAGCCTCTAGTTCCACATCATAAAACTATTCCAAATTCTTATAGTATGGTAGATTTTTTAGTTCATTAAATCTCATCATCATTGCCTAATCGATTTCGGCTTCGGAAATGAGTTTTCTTATGACGATTTGCTCTTTGGTTTGGTCTTATTTTATCTTTTCCATCCTTTTTCTAGGTAATATTCTTAATTCTTAATTAATAACTGTTTTTAATGTTACCAATGTAGTAAGCCTATTAAGCTATGATAATTATACTTTCTATCCATATATATTTTAAATAAATAACCTTCATAACTTATCAACTTTAAATTTGAAATCACGGGGTTTTGGGGTTTTGGGGTTT